TTTCTCAACTCCTCAAAATTTCTCTTTTCCAATTGCTTTCGCCCTGTTGGCTAAACCACTATTTCTGGGTGGTGTCCCCTGGGAATCGGGGCGGGGACCGTCACCGCAGTTCATTCAGCCTGCTTGCTCTTGTCTGTGCCTCGAGCCTGCCGTCGACCAGCAGGAGTCGCTTAGCTGCCCAAGTGGCAGTTAGCACAGGTGACTGCTGGCTTTGGACCTAGAAGGGCACGTAAGATGTTGAATCCATTGGAGGTTTAGCAACCGCCGTTTCTACCTTCCTGCGTGGTAAAGATGGGCTTGTTCAGGTGTGCTGAGCTTAAAGAAACGAGGGCTTTGGGGACTTTACAAAGTGGATTCCACGGGAGCCATGGCAGTCATGTCAACTGGCACTGAATGGGAACGCCCTGAGGGTGTCACCGGCCCGGCCGAAACCACAGAAACGTCTGCGCCATCGCAGGCGCGGAGAAGCGTGAGGCCCCCACCTTGTGAGGTCCGTGGAGCTGAACACCTCAGACGTCAGGAGCATCACAGACTGCGCTGGAGCCGAAGACGCTGACCTCTGACCCATCATGGCCGCCAGCTTGGGACCAACATGCAGCCCTCCCGCCGCCAGTCGACGGCTCACTGTGCGGATGCTAAGGATGCTCATCCCTCTGCCGCGTTGTGTAGGACTCTGTCCCCTCGCCGTACGTCGTGTATTGACCCGCGCGGGCACGTGGTAGGCTCAGCGGAGCAGGCCCCTGGCCGTGGGGACCGACACAGACGCGCTCAGGGGCGTAACTCTGGGAGCCGCTTTTCTTGCAAACTCAGCGGAACCATCACTCTGTCTGACAGCTGCGAAGTGTAACATTCACACAGAAAAGCGAGTAAGACGCTGTGCGGGTTAACGTGAGGAATAATTATAAGACAAGCACCCCAGCCCAGGAGCAGCGCGTTGTCAGCACCTCAGGACCCGCCCACCCTTCCCAACCGTGTCCAGTTTCCCCTCTTAGTTTTGCCACCGACGTGCGCCTCCTAACGGCGTGGCTGAGTTTTGCCAGTTTTTGAACCTTATGCAAGTGAGCACAGGATCTGTTCTTTGGTTGGCTTGCTGCTTTCACTCAATATTGAGATTCGCCACGTCACCATAAAGAGCTGGAGTGCGTCCTTCTCACTGTGTGTCGGATGTTACAGTATGACTGTTGCTGTGTTCGCGTGATATGCTGTTTTTAGCTATTATAAAGACACATGCGCTTCTACAAGAGATGCTGTAGAATTGCCGAGTCATAGCGAATGTGTATCTTGAACTTTACCAGATAATTCCATGCTGCCTCCCGACTATACCAGAAAATGCTGCGCCGTACCAGTGTACGCCACCATCCGGGCAGGAGAATTCTCCTTCCTTCGTCCGCGTTAAAACTTGTCAGACTCTTTAATCGTTGGTCTGGTGGTGTCTACTAGTGCTGTATTGTGATTTCCAAGTTTGTTCCTGCGTTTACTAACGAGGACGTGCACGTTTTCTTGGTCATTTGTATTTCCTCTTTGGTTCTATGCCTTCGTAAGCCTTTTGCCTGTTTTTAAAATTAGGTGGTCTATTTCTTACTGATTTAAAGATGTTCTTTATATATTCTGGGTACTAATTCTTTGTTACGTGTTTTGCCAACTTCTCCCACATTGTAGTTTTGTCTTTTCCACTTGCTTTATAGTGTCGTTTGGTCACAAAATTTCTTAATTTCGATGTAGTTGAATTTACTGATCTTTTCCTGTATGGCTAAAAAGAATTCTTCTTGACCCCAAAGTCATAAAACCATTATTCCATACAGGTCCACATTATTTATCTGAAATCTTGGGAGCCAGATGTGCTCTGGAACGCAGACTTTTTCAGATATTGAAAAGGTACTATGGAATATATAACAATTATGTAACTCAACAAGAGCCGGGACAGCGCTTATAATCAAAAACTGATATTCAAACGAGACTTCTGCAGCAAAACAGACACATAGTCTCCTAAGTGATATATAAATAACGATTATAAACAGCCTCGTGTCACCAAGTCACATTTTTCGCCAAACGAATTCCAAAGAGCTTGGTGTTTCCGAGGTTTGGGGATTTGGTAGTTAGTACAGAAGCTGTGGTAGCCTCATACAATAAGAATTGAATTATTTCGGAATTTAGAGGAACTCACTGGTGGAGCCATGGACCTTTAATTTTGTGTGAAGATTCTTTCCTACTGATTCAAATTACATAATGGTTTAGGATTGTTCATATTATCTACTCTCAAGTCAGCTAGTTGTGTTTTTCTTGATATTTGCACATCTAAATTTTATTTGCTTCGTTTATAAGATGGTTTAATTTTTTTTGATGTCTAAAGTATAGTTTTTATTACTGATATAGTTTGTTAGCATCTCTCCTTTTACTGTTCCCTACTATCAGATATTTGTCAATTTTATTAGTCTTTTCCAAAAAAATCAGCTTTGGGACTTTTCCAGTCTATTAAATGCAGCTGTGTGCTGGTGAATTGGTTCTGAACATAACACAACGAAACACTGGCTCGTTTGCTGATTTCAGTAGTGCGAATGCTCCCTTCACAGGCAATGTCGAGCCACCCACTTGCTGTTGCTGACCATGGACTTGGGCAGCGACGTGCACTCCTGGCCGTCCTGAGCAAGCGCTTGCTGTCTGGCACACTGCTGCTTCTGTTTGCCATTTCGCTCATTTCCGCTCTCGACATTCTTTCCCTCTTTCTACTGTCTTAATATGTTCTCCTTTTCCTAACTTCTTGAAAAGGGAAGTTTAGCTAAAGACCTTTCAGCCTCTTTTCTAATATACTCAGGGCTATAAATTTTTCTCTACGTATTGTTTTTACTTTATTTCACAGGCATCGCTATCCTATTTCATTGTTCAGTCCGAAATATCTTCTCATTACCATTATGACTTTCTCTTTTACTTCGTATTATATGGACTTGTTATTGTAGTTCTTTACTGATTTCTAGTTTAATTGGATTGTGGTAAAAAAAAAAAAATGTGCTGAGCGTATTCAGTCTTTAAAATTTGTTGAGAGTTACCTTACAGCTAAGTATGTGGTCAGTTTTGGTAACGTGTCATATTCGTTTTAAAAAAGATGTATTCTAATTTTCATTGTGTCGTTCCGAGTATATTCTTTGAGTCAAGCTTGTTTTCACAACCACTGAGAAAGATTTGTTAAAATTATCCGGTATGACCATATATTTTTTCTTTGTAATTCTGCCAAGTTTCACTTTATATAATTTATGTATTTATCATTAAATACATATAAACTTAATTTTTAATTTAAAAATATATTTTTCAACTCAGAAGGCATCCAAGATTTTTCATTGCATTCTTTTTATATCTCATCAGTCATGCTTAAAACGATGCTATCTTTAAATTGCCCTTGGTAGACATCGTGTAAAAGAAATGGGTGGCTCTGGTAAAGATAAAGGAGTCCACTATCAAGGGTCCATCAACTATTACAGAAATACTCTCCATATTGTAGAACCTGTTTGGTAGTACTTAGCTTCACATAATCTACCCTGAAAGTCTGCATATGTTGAATTTGGAAAGGATCAAACACCAGCACTGAGTGTAGAGCTATAAAATGCTTATGAGTTTTATGAGCGCTTAGAACTTCAGCAGAACTAGACGATGGAGCAGATGGGATCTGTTGAAGATAACCAGATGCTAGACGGCTATCTTTATCCGTAAACGTGCTTTTTAAATATTCTGCTGAGTGATATTAAGTCATATATTAAAATAGCATCCTTTCGAAATATCTGGAGCGGCTCTTTTCATTCCTTTTTAAAACGCCTTGGTGTTTGGGGGGTAAAAAAGCCACAACAATTAAAATAATTTTACAGTTATTCCCCTCACACACACACACATGCACACCGTTTGTACTCCGCAAATTTGAGATCCAAGTCCACGCACGTAGCCTTGCTGTAACCTCTAGTCAGGCTCATGTTTGGATCCAGCTCTCAGCGGACGGTTAGTTAGCTTTTGTGTTCTTTTTCACTAGACATCTCCAAATACCAGCTCAAAGAGCCTTTTCCATCCCCAAAGCAAAGCTGCAAGGGTTCAAGGTAAGGTGGTGATGGCGAGAAATTTATCAGAACGAAATCTCCACCAGAGGGAGGTCGGTGACGAGGTCTCAGGTTGATCACCCATTTGCCAGGTGTCCTGGTCGTCACTCGCCTCTCTCTGGGGCCGTTCCGGGTTTTGGGGTGGGGTGGGGGGTCCTTCTACTCTAAGGACCCTGGGGAGGCACGCCGCCAGGGCCCGTCAACGCTTCGACCAGCTCGGCCCCAAGGTGCGAACTTCCGCACGCAGCCGCCTCGCCGGCACGGCTCGCACGTAAGCCTCCCAGGGGCTCGGGCGAGACATAGAAGCGTCCTCGGGGGCCCAGTGCGC